TTCTTGAATGTAGTTAGTGATGTAGCATAAGGACCCAGACTGGCGTCGAGGCCTGCAGAGATGCCATCCCTTTCGAGCCACAGAGGTTACACCTTATCCAGCCACTGAGACAAAGGGTAACCATCTTCCTATCAAGCCAAGGCCACCCTCTACGGTGACAGATACACATCTTTGTTGTAACTTGGTCAAAAACAATGAATTGTCTGTTTTGTCTGCCTCGACCCTGGAGGTAGGCGTCAGGACCTGCTGGTTCAACACTTTGTCTGGGCCAGAACAAAAAGAAAAACCATCTGCCTTACTCTTCAAAGACACACACTCGTACTCTACCTGGATCAGAGACAATGGACACAGTCACACAGAGACAGGCAGACACTCAAAAGGACCTTACGCATTGTCTTCAGATCACCAAAAGGACAGTGCCCCACTAGACCCATCCCGTTATCACACCTCAGTACAGCGTAATCAACTCTGACTCTGCTCAGTCGACTGGCCTCTGACCAGCATTGGACACACAATAAACATGAAAATAACAATCGTGTGTATATGAGTTAGACCTTAACATGATGGTTCTGATTAATCTGTTACTGTATTTGTGTCATATTAATGTTCGTACTATGATGTAACCATGCCTGTACTATTTGATCACTCAGCCAATGAGAAATGTGTTTATGCAGATGAGATCCACGCATACCACGCCTTGTTTCTCGGCTGACCAACTGGCAGCTGGAGCTGTGTTTATGCAAACTGGACCAAAGCAGACCACATCGCCCATAGCGGAGTTGTTAAAACTAAGTGAAGCTGGCTTCACTGGGCTTCTTACTCTCTTCTCTTGTCCTTTTTCCATCTTGGAACTTCTCCTTTTCCAGGCAAAACGAGCGGGCCTCGCTTGACCTTCCCCAAACCTCCCTTTTTGTCCACGCACGGGCCTCCACGCAGGAGCGTGTGAGTTACGGCCGAGAACGCGCAGTGGACTGCCTGAGACCTCTGGGAGTGCGCGGCTTGTACGAACCGCCGCCAAAGCGACTACAAAGAACGTGGACGCGAACCACGTGGACCCACACTACACCACCAGGACTTTGGTGCCTCTCCCACAGACTTTGAAACTTTGGAGTCTACGCTCAAGCTGCCCACGGACTTAGCAGCCAACCTACACTGGCGTCCAGCTTTTGGACTCATCCAGGATACACAAAGGAACACGTGCGTTTTCAAAACAGAGACCCTCTCTAACCACAACACTGAGGACGACGCGCGCAAAGTAAGATCTCTCCAAGCTTTCGTTTGTGCATAAATGTCCGTGTGATTCATGTGACCTTTGGTTCTGGATTGTGACTCCAAAATCTCAATGGGCCTCATTCACGAACGGTTCTTACGAACAAATGTGTGCGTAAAACCTACTTACGAGGATTTTACGAAGAATGTGGCATTCACGAATATTTCTCGTAAGCAGAATTTCTCTTGGGTAAGTACAAATCCTACGAGTGCTCAGGAGCACTCTTACGCACATTCAGTGCTGACATGTTCGCACGCTCGTGTTGTGAAGTTCAATAAAATACAACATTACAGTGATATGTTTGCCATATTGATGTATGTATTTATTTATTTCATTGTTTATGGTAATTTAGTCATTTTTTAAATTCATTTGTAAACTTAATGCGCCAACGCTTTATCAAATACATTGGAAATCATGCCGTTAGTGACCCCATCCTATTGATAGGGGACATTTATCCATCCACGGGTCACAAAACAATGGAATATATACTGCTGCAGCAGGAGGACCGCGCTGGTCTCTCCATATGGTCTCTCCAGTCGCTGTGGTCTCTCTTCGGTCCGCGCTGGTCTCATGCTGGTCTCATGCGGTCCACGCTGGTCTCAGTCTATGCGGTCTTTCTTCGGTCAGCGCTGGTCGCAGTCTATGCGGTCTTTCTTCGGTCCGCGCTGGTCTCAGTCTATGCGGTCTCTCCTCGGCCCGCGCTGATCTCAGTCTATGCGGTCTCTCCTCGGTCCGCGCTGGTCTCAGTCTATGCGGTCTCTCTTCGATCCGCGCTGGTCTCAGTCTATGCGGTGTCGCCTCGGTCCGCTCTGGTTTCTGTGTGCTGGTCTCTCCAGTCTCTCCTCGGGTCTGCATTGGTCTCAGCGCTGGATCTCCTCTCAGGGTCCAAAATACTTTTAGCTTAATCTCATAACATTTTGAGATTCATTTTTAAATTAAAACATAATATATTTTTAAATTAATCTCATAACATTTTGAGATTAATCTCATCATTTTGCTAGTTCGACTTTATTATCAAAATATTTCGACTTTTAAGTCAACATTTTATGACTTTATTCCTAGTCTGGCAAAAGAAGAAAAAAGGGTGACTCTTTTGCTCCGTGTAACTCTTTGCTTTAGGCCTATTGCGGTTTCCTCTGGCGTCTGCACACGGCCCTGCAGTCCCTTATATGGGCATTAATGGGCGGTTACCTATGCTAATGAAGCACCGGGCACGCGCGCTCTACTTACGAGGAGTTGGCATTCATCAATCTGAGAGAACAGCTGCGAACAATTCAGCGGCTTACGAGCGCGTTGATGAATCCCACGTAGGGTCTTCTTAGAAATCTACTGAAGAACGACTTGTAAGAAGTTTCTTACGAAGTTATTCGTGAATGAGGCCCAATGATCCTATAAGATATTTGCATTGTCCTGCATCTAAAACTTTCCTTTTAGTCAATAAACCACAGTTTACAGTTTGATCTTATGCTACGTTATCATTATTTCACAGGTTAGACGGAGTCCCTGTAGAGATTAAAGAATTCACGCTTTAAGATTTTATGAGACTGATTATAATGAGCTTGCTTGGATCTTTATATCTTTAAATTAAGATTGGCACCCTAAAGGTTAACTTCCTCATTCAACTGTAAGTAAACTCACTCTGTGGAATAAGCATGCATCTATCAGACAGACATAAGCTTATTCTACTTATTTAATTTTTAAAGCCCTCGTAGGATAGTTCATCCTCCCATTGGGTGGATGTACATTTTCTTCTCCTACAGTGAGGATTTAAAAAACAATATTTGTGTATGTAGTGTTTAGCTATAAGATTGTTAACAGTGAAATCATTAAACTATTATTAATAGAAAAATTTAGGAAAGAACCGCCCTCTCCAGAGGGAAAGCCTACTAAAACGTGTGCGAAAGACATGCCTGAAACCCAGTTCTAGTCCTGCACAGTCATTGTCGACATCGCTCACACAAGCTCATTTTCCAAGAAGATTTGCACTTTACCCACTATGTCAGACAATATAGACGTAGATAACTTTTACTGGAAGTGATTTGAAATGGATTTCTCCAAATAGAATGCCCAAACTTTACCTATAGAGTAGAAACTTTGCGACTGAAGTATCAGTGAGAGCAGCAGCAGCAGTCCCTGCGCGCTCTGCCAGTGTTCTGTCAAGTTCTCCTGCTCCGTCTAGTTGTCCCGCATACGTCATTTTACAGACGTATAGGGCATGGATCTATTATAATAACTGGATAGGGTATTACAGCTCGGAGCTGAAGGACCCATGTGCTCTGGGGATTCTCGCGGTACTGCAGACTATATCAGACTACATTCACGTGGGCTACCCAGAAATTTTCCCCATAGAACTCAATGTAGACTAAAACAGCGCAACCTCAGCCGTCAGAGAACCTACAGCGTTCATAAAAGTCGGATTTTGTGTGTATTTTAGTGTCCCTTTTAATCCTGAACTTTTTTTTCTTCTTAAATCCTTCGGTTTTCTTTAAATCCACACTTTAGTGCCACAAACTCTTCTCGTCTGGCTCCCGCTCTAACTCCTGCTCTAATCAGCAGCGCTGATTGGTCAGAGCACGGCCAAGCCCCTCTGTGCACGTGCATGAGAGCCACACACACGTATTTGGCACAACGCATCATGGGAGAATATCCACTGCGCCGAACCGGGAGGACCAGACGATGCCCAAATATAGCGAGTGATATTACGAGTTTCGCTAATATGTCAGCGACCGTGCCGGCACATGCGCTACTAAGCACAAACCATTCATTTGAATACGGCACCATCTTGGATTGCCGGGGCTTGGTATGGGGATGCCCGCTTGCTGTGGCCTGGGCTAACTCGGCAGCCGCTAGCTTAGAGCTACCTTTTGGGTTGATAACATGAATCTAACAGGTTAATATGGGATATCTAATGAACGGATCGTAATCTTTCCATGCCAAATAACAAGATTATACATACTAAATTCATTCGATGAGTTTGTCTTTTAAACATTTCAGGTGATGTGATAAAGTAACTTTTTCTCAAAAAGCATTTGTAGCAAATCCTTATTGTCGTATATTCCTGTTTTTTTATTCAGGCTTTGCATGTGATTTATGTACACCATCACATATTCCATATTTATAGCAACGAAGAACAGTATTGTTGTTAGTGGCGTTATACAGTATTTCAGTCTATCACGTGCAGCATTTGTTCCCTTTTTTCACTCGCAATTTAGATGTAAGCTATAATTGTGTCAGTAAAACATTTAGCACAAAACAATTGTGTTAGTAAAACTGACAATTGTCTGTTGTGAGAGATTGAGGAGAAGAATTGTTTTGTATTTCCGTTGAATATTTTCTCAGGAATGTTACAGTCGATGTTCGTGAGTTAAGCGTGAGCTGCGGCAAACAGCAGCTTGTTTTGGCAACTTGATAAAAGCATCTTAAAAAGCACTGAGCATTTCGTACATGTTATAGTGGTCTATTAAAATCATTACAAATACAATCACACTTTTGTTGCCAGAATCCTTCTGCATGTGACACATGTAGTTCCTATGCCCACTGATGCAATTTTTATTTTGAAGATCAACGTAGTTGGACCCCAATCTTGTGTCTCAGACTCTCTTTACCTCTGTGTAGACCCCAGTGTGGCCCGCCTCCCCACACTCGCCACTCAAACTCTCTTACACCGTTACCTCTTTGTAGACCTCAGTGTGGTCAGGTTCCTCACACTTGTCACTCAGACTCTCTTTACCTGTGTGTAGACCCCAGGGTGGCCCGGCTCTCCACACTTGTCGCCCCAGCTCACAATGCCCCAGAGATACGACACTCCAAGCGCATCCTCGCACACCAGAGGCCCCCCGCTGTCCCCCTGACACGAGTCCACAGAGCCATCCAGATCCCCTGACAACCAACCAAATAACAAAGAGAGGCGTTAAATCCTTATTCAATGATCTTGAGAGTATTTACTGTGGCATTACATTTTTTATAATGTAAAAAAACAAGAGTAAAGTTCATGTACCATATATTTTTGAGGGTCTCCCCCCCTGGACTGCCACATGAACGTGGTGGGGGAGTTTGAGTACTTGGATGGTCCTGGAAGCTATGCTGTCTAGGGCTTCATGGCAAACAAGTCTTGGGTGACGAGTCAGACGAAGCACAGCCCAAAACCCACCATGGATAGCACCATGATGAAACCTGTGACGTCTCCCGGCATGGAGCTGGAGTTCTCCCCGGTGACACTTGAAGAGAGGTGATTAGGAAGAATGGTCCCTCTGATCTGAACCTGAGCGGTGCTCAGTTGTTGGACTTCTGTGCTAGTCACAGTTTGCCCATCACGAACACCTTCTTCGAGCACAAGGGTGTCTTACCAGTGCACATGGCACCAGGACACCCTAGGCCAGAGGTCGATCAACGTTGTTGTCGCATCATCTGACCTTCATCTGCGTGTCTCGGACACTGGTGAAGAGAGGGACGGAGCGGTCAACTAATCAGGCTAGCAGGGGAGGAAGCCAGTTAGACCTGGCAGACTCAAGTATGTAGTAAGGGTCTTTTGGGAATGTCTTGCTGAGCCCCTGTTAGACATACTTTCAGCTCACTCCTCCGGGAGAGCTTCTCCCAGGTCCCGGAGGAGGAGGGGGACATTGAGTCTGAGTGGACCATGTTCTCCACCTATGCCGATGCGGCAGCTTGTAGCTGTGGTGGAAAGGTCTCTGGTGCTGGTCCCTGCGGCAATCCCCCGAACACGGTATTGGACACCAGTAGTAAGGGATGCCATCAGGCTGAAAAAGGAGTTCTTTCGAGCCATGATGATTTGTGGGACTCCTGAGGCAGCTGTACAGTACTGGCAGGCCAAGCTTGCCACTGTACGGGCTGTTGCAAAGGCTAACCTTGGACTGGGAGGAGTTCAGAGAGTTCATGGAGCATGACTATCGGCCTCGAAAAGATCCTGGCAAACCAGTGTGGTTTTTGACCAGGCTACGGAACACTGGACCAGCTCTATACGCTCCATCGGATACTCAAGGGTTTCTAGGAATTCGCACAACCTGTCATGTGCTTTGTGGTTTTGGAGAATGTTGTAGATTTTAAATACAGCACATGCTGATACACTTCTATTTTCCGTCGTCCATGTATCAACATCTATGAAAATAGGAATTTCTAGATTTAATCATGAAATGTCTCCATAAAGGGGCGACAGTAGAGCTCACTTGGTAGAGCATTGGTCTTTGGACCCAATGGTCGTGGGTTCGATCCCACCAGGACCCATGTCACCTGCTCCCACTGATGACTGCTGTCGTTGTGTCGCTGGGCAAGACACTTAACCCCACAATGCCTGAAGCCCCCGCTGGGAGATCAAGGCCGTATGATGAAGGAGCAGCCATCTTCCTGTGGACCCACCACCTGCAGGAGGATCAGCGAGGGACTGGTGCAATGTGAATTGGGTGGCAACTCTGATTGCCACTCCCCTGACCCAGAAATGGAATAATAAAGGGATGATAATGAATGAATTAATGAATGTCTCCATAAAATGTTTTTATACTAATGATTAAACATCAAGTGTTTTTATAAAGTGTTCTTATATTAATCATTAGGTGTTTGCATAAAAGGCCTTTCGTATTATGTGTTAGCCTAAGTCTAGTGAGTTCAGGGACAAGGTTGGTTTCTGTGCCATATTATCCATTTAGGAACAAAGTTTGACACTCTTATCATCAGGACAAGGGATGAGACCCAAAACCAGACCAGAGCAGCCTCGGGAGACTGATAAGGAGCCAAATGACATCTTCGGAGTAGGCGTCCTCTTCTTCTACACATTTTCATAAAACTGTTTTGTACGACATTGTGAGTGAGTCTGAACAGAGAGGTTTGACAGAGCGCCTGCTGACCTCCATAGTTTAGGCCCGTAAGGGACAGTTAATTTTGGCTCAGCTCATAAAGTTAGATAGGGAAATATAAGAACTCAGAGTTGTGTATAAGTAATTAATTGTCAATATACAGTGCCTTGCGAAAGTATTCGGCCCCCTTGAACCTTTCAACATTTCGCCACATTTCAGGCTTCAAACATAAAGATATAAAATGTTGATTTTTTTTGTCATGAATCAACAAGTGGGACATAATCGTGAAGTGGAACAAAATTTATTGGATAATTTAAACTTTTTTAACAAATAAAAAACTGAAAAGTGGGGCGTGCAATATTATTCGGCCCCTTTACTTTCAGTGCAGCAAACTCACACCAGAAGTTCAGTGAGGATCTTTGAATGATCCAATGTTGTCCTAAATGACTGATGATGATAAATAGAATGCACCTGTGTGTAATCCAGTCTCCGTATAAATGCACCTGCTCTTTGATAGTCTCAGGGTTCTGTTTAAAGCGCAGAGAGAACCATGAAGATAAAGGAACACACCAGGCAGGTCCGAGATACTGTTGTGGAGAAGTTTAAAGCCGGATTTGGATACAAAAAGATTTCCCAAGCTTTAAACATCTCAAGGAGCACTGTGCAAGCAATTATATTGAAATGTAAGGAGTATCAGACCACTGCAAATCTACCAAGACCCGGCGGTCCCTCCAAACTTTCATCTCAAACAAGGAGAAGACTGATCAGAGATGCAGTCAAGAGGCCCATGATCACTCTGAATGAACTGCAGATAACTACAGCTGAGGTGGGAGAGTCTGTCCATAGGACAACAATCAGTCGTGCACTGCACAAATTTGGCCTTTATGGAAGAGTGGCAAGAAGAAAGCCATTTCTCAAAGATATCCATAAAAAGTCTCGTTTAAAGTTTGCCACAAGCCACCCGGGAGACACACCAAACATGTGGAAGAAGGTGCTCTGCTCAGATGAAACCAAAATCAAACTTTTTGGCCACAATGCAAAACGATATGTTTGGCATAAAAGCAACACAGCTCATCACCCTGAACACACCATCCCCACTGTCAAACATGGTGGTGGCAGCATCATGGTTTGGGCCTGCTTTTCTTCAGCAAGGACAGGGAAGATGGCTAAAATTGATGGGAAGATGGATGGAGCCAAATACAGGACCATTCTGGAAGAAAACCTGTTGGAGTCTGCAAAAGACCTGAGACCGGGACGGAGATTTATCTTCCAACAGGACAATGATCCAAAACATAAAGCCAAATCTACAATGGTTCACAAATAGACGTATCCAGGTGTTAGAATGGCCAAGTCAAAGTCCAGACCTGAATCCAATCGAGAATCTGTGGAAAGAGCTGAAGACTGCTGTTCACAAACGCTCTCCATCCAACCTCACTGAGCTCGAGCTGTTTTGCAAGGAAGAATGGCGCAAAAGATGGCGCTACAAAGTATTAGCCCAAGGGGGCCAAATAATATTGCATGCCCCACTTTTCAGTTTTTTATTTGTTAAAAAAGTTTAAATTATCCAATAAATTTTGTTCCACTTCATGATTGTGTCCCACTTGTTGTTGATTCTTGACAAAAAAATTAGTTTTTATATCTTTATGTTTGAAACCTGAAATGTGGCGAAATGTTGAAAGGTTTAAGGAGGCCGAATACTTTCGCAAGGCACTGTAATTAAATATAGTTTATTTGAACTCTTGAATCTTATAAGAAGGTGTTCGACCGTATTCCCTGGGGTGTCCTTATGGGGTGTTCTCCAAGAGTACAGGGTGCGGGGTCTTCTACCCTGTATGACCGGAGCCAGAGCAGCGTTCGCATCGCTGGCAGCAAGTCAGATCTGTTTCCAGTGCATGTTGGCCTGCGCAAAGGCTCCCCTTTGTCACCAGTTCTGTTCACTGTCTTTATCGTTAGAATTTATACGCACAGCCAGGGGCTGGAGGGGTCCTGTTCGGAGATCTCATGATTTAATCTCTGCTTTTTGCGGACAATGTCGTTCTGTTGGCTCCAACCAATCAGGACCTGCAACATGCCCAGGGGCGGTTTGCAGCCACTCGGCTGCAAACCGCCGTGTAGCGGCTGGGATGAGAATCAGCACCTCCAAATCTGAGGCCATGGTGCTCGACGAGAAAAAGGTACCTTGCTCTCTCCAAGTGGTGGAGAGGTCCAAGTGGAGGAGCTCAAGTATCTCGAGATCTTGTTCACAAGTGAGGGAAGGACGGAGCGTGAGATTCACAGGCGGACCGGTGCAGCGTGTGTAGTGATACGGTCGCTGTATCGGAATGTTGTGGTAAAGAGTGAGCTGACTCAAAAGGCAAGGCTCTCGATTTACCAGTCAATCTTCGTTCCCTCCCCCACCTATGGTCATGAGCTATGGGTAATGACCGAAAAGACAAGCGGTCAAAAGGAGCTTCCTTCGCAGAGTGGCTGTGCACTCCCTTAGAGATAGGGTGAGGAGCTCAGTCACACGTCGAGAGGAACCAGTTGAGGTGGCTTGGGCATCTGTTCCGGATGCCTCCTTGGGAGGTGTTCTGAGCACGTCCGAACAGGGAGGAGACCTCGGGGAAGACGAAGGACACACTGGAGGGACTATGTCTCCCAGATGGCCTGGGAACGGCATGGGGAACCCCCAGATGAGCTGGAGGAAGTGTGTGTGCATAGGGAAGTCTGGGCGTCTCTGCTTAGAATTTTGCCCCCGCGAAATGGCAACTGATGAAGCCTCACTTCTGTCAGTGTACCCACGGCAGCTGTGACTACATTAGTAGTTTATTACCATTGTGAATGGAGTGAAAGAATATGAATAAGAAAGTACAGCATCTTTGTCCATAAAAGCACGATATAAAACCAAAAAATTATTATTATTAATACTAAATATATTGTTTCACATTTTACAAGATTAAATAACCAACAAGAAGTGTGAAGTGGAGTGAGTGAAGTCTCATTATAATTTTGTATGTGTTTTTTTTGTGAAATAGCAGAATATATTTTCCAATGTTCCCACAGCTCCACACTTACCCGCACACATCATGCCTGGTTTGAAGCGGTCTTCATAAAACCGCTCACAGTCTGGGATCAGGGAGACGTTCGCCCACAGCAGGACCTTAGCAGCTTTACCTTCTGGAAACACACAAGAGACAGAACACAGACCATTGTAAAACCAACTATATGGAAGTTATGATGGCTCAAGGTAGCCTGGCCTTGGCCATCCTTAAACTCCGGTCAATTAATCATTTTCCTACATCTCGAAAAGATGTTGTGGCTCTACTCCCCACGGGCTCCATTAGTTGCAAAGGAGATGGCTAGGCTAAATTCTAAATGCCTCACTCACTCGGGTGCATTACATACGTTGCGGCAAACTCAAGTCCAATCGTTTCAATCTCCAAAAGGAGTTAACCCCTTCCACCTGTTAACGAACGTCAATTGAGCAAATCCAGCCCTATTTACGAAATTAAGTGGGTACGGTGGTATGGTACGACCAGGCCATGATGCATTGTGCTGTCTATTTTATCATGTTTATTATAGCCAGAAAAAATATGCAGTTATACCGGTATATCATAGGAATATGCTGGTAGAGAGAGCCTGATTGTTTTTAATCTGTAGAGAGCATGATTGTTTTAAGGGATAGAGGGGACATGCCAAAATCAGGGAATCAATCAAGGAAAATGACAATCAAACAGGACATTGGCTTCAACATGTACAGTATCTTTTTAGTGTTTATACAAGACTTTACAAGTATACAAGTATTTATATAAAGACTACTACAATGAACTGCCAGCACCATCCACACTCAACCCCATACACTGAATAAATACTTATCAACTAGTCCACTAGATGTCGGTGTTTGTTACAGGGATACATAAGATAAGATTAGATCAACTTTATTCATCTCACAATGGAAAAATGTACTGCCCATCACTAGCCTTTTTATGTATATGGTATTCCGAATAATGCACAATAATCTTTCTGACTACAAACATTTTGATAAATGCAATAACATCTTTGGCCATCTGGTGACAGTAGGACTATAAATTATGGTATAGCCCAAGTAATACACCCACTCACGTTTTCTGCATTACGCACAGGCAGCGCTGCATGCCAGGAAGAATCTGAATATCAAAAGACAGCAAGTTTCGCATTTATGCATTTGCTACAATGCAAGAACTATGTGGGATGCTGAGAAATTGTTCGGGAACGTCCAAGATAATTACAGACAAGAGTGATGTACTCTTGTGCAATAAGCCTATTAAAAAGTGCGACATTGCAAACAAGAGGAGGCGAACAACTGCCAAATAATGCCATATTCAGTCTTCAAAGCGCACAGTGCTTATCAATACAGGACACCATTGTATTACTTTTAATGTTCGTAAATGACTGAATGTTCACAGTTCTGCTCTGTCAAGGACTAAATGAGTCAAGTATAAACTCTGAACAACGATATACAATTATAAATACAGTGAAACTCATTTACATTGTATACAACATAAGAATCAGAGTAATTTTTATTTCCACGTAAGTAACAGGAAGTCACAGACTTGGATATTGCTTTGGCTCAGTGCAACAGTCAGAGAGAGAATTAAAAAAAAGAATAAAAAAACACTTCTAAGGAATAAATTTAAATATAAAATAGAGTTACAGTTACTATTTACAATATACAAGTGCACATGGTGCACACAATGTAAGGTGACAGCAGTACAGTGACGTAAAGTGACGTATGATGGGCAGTAAAGTGACTTTATAAAGGGCGGGGGACAGGTTAAGAAGTGTTCAAGAGTCCAACAGCAGAGGGGAAGAAACTGTTCTTGTGGCGGGAGGTTCTACTCCTGATGGACCGCAGTCTCCTGCCTGAGGGGAGTGGTTGGAATAGTTCATGTGCAGGGTGAGAGGGATCGGCTGTGATACGACCAGCCTGGCCTCGAGCTCGGGGGACGTAGAGGTCCTGCAGCAATTGAAGGCTGCGGCCGATCACTTCCTCTGCAGAGCGCATAATGCGCTGTAGTCTCTGTTTGTCCCTGACTGTGGCTCCAGCAACCACACGGTGATGGAGGAGGTGAGGATGGACTCGATGATGGCCGTGTAGAACTGCACCAACATCTATGCAGGCAGCTTGGCTTTCCTGAGCTGCCGCAGGAGGTACGTCCTCTGCTGGGCCTTCTTGATGAGGGAGCTGATGGTCGGCTTCCACTTGAGGTCCTGGGTGATGGTGGTGCCCAGGAAACGATAGGACTCCACAGAGGTGATGGAGGAGTCCATCACGGAGGGTGGGGACGGGGCGATGTGGGGACAGTGCTCTTCCCGAAGTCCACAATCATCTCCACTGTCTTCTGGGCATTCAGCTCCAGGTTATTACCACTGCACCAGGACACCAGCCGGTCCACCTCCCTCCTGTAGGCGGATTCATCGTGGTTGGAGATAAGTCCAATGAGGGTGGTGTCGTCCGCGAACTTGATCAGCTTCACGGAGTTGTGGCTGGAGGTGCAGTGGTTCGTGTACAGGGAGAAGAGCAGGGGAGAAAGAACACAGCCCTGTGGGGCTCCTGTATTTATAATCCGAGAGTCCAAGACATTCTTCCCCAGACGCACTCGCTGCTTCCTGTCTGTCAGGAAGTCAGTGATCCACCTGCAGGTGGAATCGGGCACGTTGAGCTGGGAGAGCTTGTCCTGGAGCAGGGATGGCAGGATGGTGTTGAAGGCAGAGCTGAATTCCACGAACAGGACCCTGGCGTAGGTCCCCGGGGAGTCCAGGTGCTGTAGGATGTGGCGGAGGGCCAGGTTAATGGCGTCATCTACAGATCTGTTGGCTCTGTAGGCGAACTGCAGGGGGTCCAGGAGGGGGGAGGTGAAGGACTTGAGATGGGAGAGGACCAGGCGTTCAAATGACTTCATGACGACAGACGTAAGTGCTACAGGTCTGTAGTCATTGAGTCCTGTGATCCTGGGCTTCTTCGGGACGGGGACAATGATGGAGGATTTGAAGCAGGCCGGGACATGGCAGGACTGCAGAGAGGTGTTGAAAATGTCAGTGAACACAGGAGTAAGCTCACTGGCGCAGTGTCTCAGAGTGGCCGGAGACACATGGTCCGGGCCAGGAGCTTCGCGGGGGGGTGCAGCCTCAAGAAGAGTTGTTTGATATCTTTAGAGGCTATTGTCAGGCTGGGGGCAGGGCTGATGGGTGGGTCGTTAGAGTAGTGGGGGGTGGGAGAGGTGTCAGGGGCAGCAGTAAACAGACCTCCCACCCATTCTGATTTGTTGTTATAAAACCCTCCCTCCAAACCCTTCATCATGATAAGGCTATCACACACACACACACACACACCTAAGTGTCGTTGACAGGTCCTCCCTGTAGATTAATTAGTTTATTGACGTGTCTTTACTAACTAAGGCACCACTGTTTGTTTAAGAATAAGCTCGGTGTGAACCACACATGTGCTACGATAAACCCTGATCAATAAATCACTTTAGACTACTGTGAAACACCAGACAGAGGCTAACTCATTACACATTCAAAAATGACACCTCTTTGAAAAAAATACAGTGCAGTAACACTTTTCACCACTTGCTCAATAGCGCCGTCCCCTTTCTGGGGAGTTTTAGGGTGCAGTACCACCTTTTCACCACTTGCTCAATAGCACCATCCAGTATATCTACTTTCCATGCATGCGCGCAGCTCTTCCACAGCTTCATCAGACCACACTTTGGAGCTCCTCACTACAGGTTTTGAGAGCTTTAGTCTCTGTCTGTAAGCAGGGATCAGATGTATCATGGAGTGATCTGAGAAGCCGAGGGCTGCTTTGGGAACAGCGCGATAAGCTCCACGCACAGTGGTATAACAGTGATCCAGAGTGTTCTCCTCTCTGGTTGGGAATTTGATAAACTGTCTGTATTTGGGTAATTCTTGGCTCAAGTTTCCCTTATTAAAATCCCCCAGGATAATAATCAGAGAGTCCGGGTATAAACGTTCCATACACAGTGCGATGACGGAATGGCGACAGAGGTGTGGTGGCTCTTACTGGTCCAGGATGCGGAGGGGCACTGGTGTGGTGACGGCCTGGTGATGTGGTAGGGCTTACATGCAGGTGTCACTGTCTTCTCCCACTACACACTGCCACGAATGGATATGATTTGTATATGTTAGTAGTTTGAATATAAACACTAATGCTATCAATTTGACCAAGTGAAAATACTCCATTGTCTGGTAAAAGGGAAAAATGAAATAATAGTAATAATGATTATAATAATTAAAATAATAATAATGATAATAATAATAATAATAATAATAACAAAAAGAGGAATTTAAATAAATAAATAAACAAATGAAGTCGGCTGAACGTGGCCTGAGACCGGTGGGATAGGGTGTGTGCAGTTCTGGCTCGATGCCTTGGTGCGTTGCTGGTTGTTGCTGCTCTGGTGCCTGCTGTGACGGGATTGGCTGGGGTCACTGTGCTGCTTGTTGCCGTGTTGTTATGCATGACTTTGCTACTGGCTCCGGACACACAGGGGTAAGTGTGATGTGCACAGGGGTGGAAACTTATAAGATTTTTTTCTTCCTCCCACTCCTTTTCGAGTTTGAATGATGTCAATATTGTATCTGTAAATGGTTGATTTGATGTACATGAACTCGAAATAAATAAACACTCAACTCAACTCAACTCAACAGTACTTGCTCTGCGAGTACACGCTGAGCCTCGCGCGCGTCCGCCCATGGCGGTATGTAAACAGAGGCAAGAATGAATGAAACAAATTCACGAGGGGAGTAAAATGGTTTACAATGAATGAAAAGATATTCCAGAGCAGGAGAACAGTGCTTGGAGATCACTGTCACATTGTTACACCAGTTTGTATTGACGTAGAAGCACAGCCCACCGCCTCTGCTCTTTCCTGATAGCGCACAATGGCGATCCGCGCGGAACAGCTCAAAACCCTGCAGTTCCAGAGCGCAGTCCGGGATCCGCTCATTTAGCCAGGTCTCAGTGAAGCCGAGGACACAGCATGTGGCAAAGTCCTTGTTTCTTCTCATGAGCAGGCCGAGTTCGTCCATCTTATTGCCCAGTGACCGTACGTTGGAGAGAAAAATGCCGGGGTGAACCGTGCGCGCTCCGTTACGGGCCCACACTTTTTTGG